GAACCTCTGAAACAGAATATAATCACACAGTAGACAGCAAGGAACCACTAAAAAAATTGATGAGAAAGAGATAGGGAATCAGAAAACAGAAATAGTGAGAGAGATGGTGTAGGGTACGAGGAATAACAAGAGACACGGAGCAAGACAGACAGATGGAGAGAGTGTGTGAGACAGAAAGAGAATATGTGAGAAAGAGAGAGAGAGACAGGGGGAGAGAGACTTGCCTCCAGGAGAAACTGGCAGATGTTCTTCCTCTGGTCTCCCTGGAGCTGGATGACCTCGCCGTACTCTGGGTGCTCGATCACAGTACCGTTACAGGCGAATTTCTGCCAGGCAAACACAAGGACGAATACGTCAGGGCCCTCCCACTGCCAGACTGGCACAAGCTAAGCAGCTCATTATGACGTATCCATTACTGCTATAGCCATGTGATTGCAATGCAGCAATGTCAAACGACCTACGCTTTAGCATTAACAGGCCACATTCCCTCTGAATCATAAGGTGCAGAAACAACGTATTCATGCATTGGTGTGGTGCCGTGTAAGTCTTCAGTCAAACAGGGGTACAGGTTAGTTCTGCTACTACAAAGGATAAGAGAACCTATTCTATTTCAGGATTCAACACAGTGTTGGACATTTCACCAACAACAAAGTCCATTTGTTTTAGTGCCACACTGTGAATTTACATTTCACATTTTTAGATGCTTACCTTGTCCAGAGCATCCAGCTGGATATTTACTGAGGCAATTCCAGGTTAAGCACTTTGCATAAGGGTACAACAGCAGGTCCCCAGCTGGGGAATTGAACCAGAGACCTGCTCCCTCCCACTACACCACACTGCTGTGTGGTGGACACAGACTGCACACCCAGGCTAATTTCAATCAACTATATTACAGGAACTGCATCTTGTCTGTTTGTAACTGAGCTGAAGACTTGCATGGACAAAGCTGGGGAGGAAACTGGTGTGACCAGGTCTTGACCTGGGGGAAAACTGTCTTTAGCACTTAAGGGATCTGCAACCTCACTGTAACTGGAAACTCCTGCCAATCAGGTAATTAAAGGAGGGTTGGGGGCAGGGATGCCGGTGAATTCCAGTGGGACAATGGGCTGCAGTGCTGACCAAACTGACCTTTTGACCCCGCTTTAGAAAGGCATAAATACCCTCTGCAACGCCAGCCTGGCTGAAGCCGGAAAATTCCAGTATGTTCCAGTTTGAACGAAAGACGCCGGCTAAGGCTTACAGGAATCGCCAGGGAAACTAGGTACGCGAAAAAGGGGGTGGGGGTGTCTGGGTTTCAGACAAACGTAGGTATACACACCTTTTTGAAGGCCTTTACCAGCTTCTTTTTGTCGTAATCATCGGCGATTCCCTGCACGGTGGTCAGCGTTTTGCGGCCGTTGCGTTGCTGGATCCTTATGTGGATGTAATCCTCTGTCCCCGCCGGGAGTAAGTCGTCACCCTTGGTTGCATCAGCAAAGGGATCTGGTCAAGTGATACCACGTATATAGTTAATTTAACCACGGATAATGTTTTTTCGGTTGGGAAAAAAATCTGTAATACAACCACGGAATTCACACATGCAAATAAAATAAACAATTTACCAAGGAGCCTAACGGTGTGTTTTTTATAGTATAAAAATATATTCTCTTAGACCTACTTCAAATAAACACCCCACGGTAAAGCGTAGAACAATGCCAGACAAAACCGGAACTCGTTATTTGTATTTTTAAAATCCTATTTCAGGGAGTTATTAAAAGTCATCGGTAATGTTAGCTACGAACCACAAACCAATGCGCACAACTTTACTAAAATGCATTGTAGATGGTTAAGGAGAAGGCTTTCTTATGTTTGTTACTGCTGTTTGCTCTGATGAACAACCATGGGCCACCGTTTAACCGGTAGCCTCAGAAACAAAGCTAGCTACATCTTATCACAGATGTCCCCCCGCACGAAAGTTTTGTTCACAAGTAAGTACCTAACGTAAGTAAGTTTGCTAACGTATTTAAACACACCGGCTAACAGGGACGTGTAGATAGACGTCTTGGTAATTAGCCACTGCTATTCAGTAGCGTTAGCTGGCAGTCTAGACTAGCTAAAACGCCGACCAACCAACCACAACGAAACAATGAGATGTGAAGGGAGTGAAGTCATCGGCCAGTTTCACAATACCAGCTTGAGTAAAACGTATTTACAAACAAGGCGGCAATGTAGCGTAGTGGGAAGGACCAGGGCTCGTAACCGAAAGTTTGCCGGTTCGATTCCCCGCTGGGGCACTGATGTGGTACCGCTAGATAACCCAAGAGTCTCCTTGGTAAATATCCAGCTGTACCAAAAGAACACAAATTATATGTCCGTCCCTCTGGATAATAGCGCCTGCTAAATGAGAGTAATATGAAATAGGCCGTGATTAGAGCCCTAACCAGATTACCGACTAGCCAGCCATTTTAGCGTGCCATTTCCGTGCGCATGTGATTTAGCCCTTGCTAGGTGGCTAACGCTATCCGAGTCTACGCCATCTCTCACATTTCACTCGGACTACCGTTACTCGTCATCTTCAGAAACACGCAGTGCTTGGATTTTTATGCATTTTGTTGACATTTTTAAATACGCCACACCTTTTATGCCGTTTTCTGAAACCGAAAGCTATAACGAACTATAGTCGCCATTTTCAAATCGGACAAAGTAGGGTACTATTTAGCTACATCTGAATAGCGTCAGCTAATATACTGCTAATACCAGTACAATAACAACAATTTGAAAATAATAATAGTTAATAGCCCCGTGCATTCTACATTGAAATAGTAAAGTTACATCTCAACTGACAAAAACAGCAGCAGCTCTCACGACTGATCCTGAGCTGAACTGATTAAGATCACGAACTTAACTTACCGAAAGATTGGAGGTTCTGGATAGAGGACATGCGATATTAGGACGAGACCTTTTGAGGTGATAAAAACAAAACTTTGTCGAGGTGTTTTTGCTAGCTGTTTGTGCCTCGTCTGTGGCCCTTACGGTCGCACCAGGGTAAAAGCCTCCAGAGATGAAATGAAACGGAAGACGACGGCGATGATGTCACGCGTATGAAACAAACTCTTCTTCGGTGGATTGCTTTTAGCGCGCATCTTTAAAAACTATGCTTAAGTGCCTCGCTACCGCCATCTACTGTACCGGAGAGTTGAGCAGGAAAATAGCAGAGTGACCCATTCACTCTGCACTGATTCTCAATCCTGCACGTGGGGGCCCACTGTCCTGTATATCTTCTATCTATCCTTGCTCTACCTACCTGACTGAACTCATCAGTGGCACTTTTGATTAGCTGAGCACACCTGATTTAATCAACAGCATGTTAATCACACTAATCAGGTGTGTTTGGAGCAAGGATCGATAGAAGATATGCAGGACAGTGGGCCTCCAGGAGTAGGATTGAGAAACGCTGACCTAGAGTGCTCAACTTGGTCACGTCAGCCTTTACATACATACAGTACGTGTGCATATGAGGTCGCCATATGCCGTTCCTGCAATCTTCACGGGAAGTGTAGGAGCCTAAATTTACCAGTAGCATTGTTGAACGACCACAGTCAAAATGTCAAAATGTTAAACCTGATTCATTTACTTCACGAAGAACTGTCAAATGTTTATTATTCTTATTGCTAGTGGTAGTGATAGTAATGGTAGTACTACTTGTAGTAGTATTTACCCATGTATTGATATGAATGCAAAATCTATTTCTTTTTTTCTCTTGATGAGAAGGGAAGTTGATGGAATGACGTTGTTAAAGATGTATTGCATTCCCACTGGTATTATGCTTCCAGTGAGGTATAATTTCAGTAAAGGAAAACTTGAAAACTCATCATTGTGTGCACAATAATAGCATATTGAGCATTTAATTGGACCCAACAATATCATTTTTGAATCACACCATTACATTAATTATTCAGCTCTTAATGGATGTTTGTGTGTGTGTCTACCTTAACACTCACCTCAGGGGCCACACGCTATGAAGTGTTGCATATTGGATTGCTAATCAGCCATTTCTGCTTCATAAGAATATATTATCCATTTACAGCTCTCTTGGCTATATCACATTTTAAAGGTTTAACTATCATGATTATAATGTCCCCCATTACGTAATTATCATTGACACCCTACCTAATTAGAAGGAAGGGCTAATGCCATGAAAATCTCTGACTTTCTATAATAATATACATATGAGGTTTAATTCAGTTATATTGTCTTTTTTTCAATTCTGTGTCATTGGGAATGAGGTAAAGTGTTTACATTACAATGGCAATTTCTCACTGTCTTTTAACCTTCCATCACTACAGTATAAGAAGCTGACCCAGGTGGGACTTGAACCCACAATCCCCAGCTCCGGAGGCTGATGCCTTATCCATTAGGCCACTGGGCCTATGGTAGCTCTCTTTATGGCTAATCGCACATTTATTGTTTCACATGCGCATCTCACACATACGTACCTTTGAATGTAATGTTTGCTCTCCTGAATTCAGGCTGTGATATACTGTATATATAACCATCCCTCTGTAGTTTGATGTGAAAGTGAAATTGAATTGAACTGAAACTGAATTTAAGTGGATTCTGGGCACCAAATACAGAGCAGGAAGTGCTCCATTTCGACTGCATGCATGCAACTCATTGACTGTCTCCTGTCTAAAGGCTACCTTTCCTGTGAGGACAGGAGCTAAAATCAGGGGCTGGACAGATTAATAAATATTTTTTGCTATACAGATGCCTTATCATCTGTCTTCTTTATCAGAAGGTAAAAGCCAGGAGTAGACACCATAAAACAAAAATACTTTTTTGGTGGGATTTACAAAACGCCACTGTAGAAGTATCTTTACATTGAGACAAACTGCAATGAAGTCATACAGCTGTCTGAAAAGGGATTTCTTGAAATAGGATCAGTTCACATCTGTGTGTTTTAAGACAAGTGTGGACTATCAGGATAAATAACAACAATGCAACTCTCCTATACCTCATCACAACCCCAGCTTGGCTCAAACCCACAATTGTCAGCTCTATTGACTGATGCCTTATCCATTAGGCCACTGGGCCAAGAGAAGCTACCTCTTGCAAAAAGTATTATCTGGCTGATCACACTTTTACTTATTCACATGCACACATCACACATATGCACCTTTGAATGTAACATTTCCTCTCCTAAATTAAAACTGTGACATATATAAACATCCATCTGTGGTTTGATGTGAATAGCATGTGGCAATGAAATACAAAATAGTCCAAAATAAGGAATACAGTGAAAATGCTATCTATTTGATCATTTATTATTTGTTACATAGTCAATGTGTGATTATTGCTGCTAATTCTAGGTGTGCCTTAGTGTTTTTTTTTTTTTTTTTCCCATTTTTCCATTTTCTCCCCAGTCTGGAATGGCCAGTTCCCCAAATTCTGGAATGTCCAATTTGTCATCATCAATGTTTGGTCCCATTGCACAACCCCCACTGTCAAAAACATTCAGCTTTTAGTAGCTGTGAAACTGTAAACTGTGTTTTAGTAGCTAGTGGCTGCAATATACAATAAATGCTAATAGTAGTTATTTGTTAAACAGGTGCAATTTGATATTTAAATTGCCATTACTTATTGCTCTTGGTACTTTCTCATGAGTTTATGTCAGTATATTTATTTAGCTGTTTTGTGGCATCCATTGGTGAAACTTGTTTTTCACAAAAAAGATCCATTTAGGATTTCCACTGTTGTAAATATTTGGTGGAACTAAGGAAGCAATGGCAAATGAGGACCTGCTGTTGTTGTGATATCTTTCAGCATCAGCATCTTTCAGGTTCAGCATCAGCATAGCAGTTATCATTGTAGTGGTTTATATGAGCACAACAAACCGGTGATAAGTGCATCAGTACAATGTGTCTAAAGCTAACCAGGCAGGCACCGAGGTTTACCATGCCAAAAGGCAATCTCTCACTGCCCTCTAGTGGACATATCTAAATACATCACCCTATTGCAGTTGTTTGGGTTGCAATTTTAAATATTAAGTTTTCATATTCAGTTAAATTCAAACTGTATATCATCTGTCCCACATGCACTATCAATTTGTCATCTAGGTTTGTTTATTAATTGTCTTAAACCGAGCAACAGAGTATCAGGAAGTCACCACCTTGTGTTGGATAAAGGAACCACACATAGCCTACTGAAGAAAAAAGTGTTTTTCAACACAGAGGGAATTCCAGCAAAGAATCCAGGAGAGAGAGAAGGAACTGCAGGATCTGAGGCAGGCTGTGGAGTCACTCACGGTGGGTACTAACCAAAGGAGAAGACAACAGCTGGCTGCTGGAACAGCCATTTCTGGGCTCAGTCAGGGCTCTCCTCTGGTCAGCCAGTGAGGAGTCCAATGTTTGGCCACTTTCCAGCTGTGTGGGGCTCAATCCTACTGAGCCACACTGTATGGAATGGGCTGTCTGGGGTCCCGGTAAGAGCTGAGTGAAAGGTCTAATTAAAATGTACAGCCCTCCTCTCTGCGTGTCTCCTAACAGCACTCTGAGGTGAGAGAACTGATCAGAGATCAGGAGAAGGCTGCAGTGAGTCAGGCTGAAGGACTCCCGGAGCAACTGGAGCAGGAGATTGCTGAGCTGAACAGGAGAGACACTGAGCTGGAGCAGCTTTCACACACACAGGATCACATCCACATTTCCTCCAGGTAACATCACTGGCTCTCTGACAGTCTGCAGTACAGAGATATTCAGTGCAGCTGCTTCCAGTACCTGGCTGGAACATTTGAAACACACTATGTCTATCTCTCTCTCTCCCCCTGTCTCTCCACCCCTTCTCTATTCCTCCGTCCCTCCCTCACCTTTGCTCTCAGTCTATCTGTGACACTCCTGAATCTGGGGACTTCACTGTCAATCCACACTTTGTTTTTGAGGCTGTGAGGAAATCTGTCTCTGAGCTGAAAAGAGGACTGGAAGATGTCTGCAAGGGAGAATTAATAAAAATGTGTGAATTAGGTTTGTAATAATTTTATGCAAAGTCATTTTGGTGTTTTATGCATGTCAGAAACATACACATATAATAAAAATATTAGCAAAATATAAAAAATCCAGAGGAACCTGAGAGCAACACACTGATACTGTAATTATATTACATGGATCTGTTTTCATATGTTCCTCTCCATCAGATTCCTGCCAGCTCACACTGGACCCCAACACAGCACACAGAGACCTCCCTATGCATAGGGAACAGAGTGGTGACACGTGTGTGAGAGCCCCAGTCATATCCTGATCAGCCAGAGAGATTTGATTTCTGGTGGCTAGTGCTGTGCAGAGAGGCTCTGTCTGGACACTGTTAATGGGAGTTCAGTGGGGGTGATGGAGTGGACAGCAGCAGGAAAGGAGTCAGCAATGGCTTTGGATTTGACAGTTGACTGTTGTCTGGGATGGAATAACAAGTCCTGGGCTTTGTACTGCTCTCCTTTCACCAATTCTTTCTGGCACAATAATCAGGACACTGAAATTCCTTCCCACTCCTCCTCCAGAATAGGAGTGTACCTGGATCACAGGGCAGGAACTCTGTCCTTCTACAGTCTCTGACACAATGACCCTCCTCCACAGAGTCCAGACCACATTCACTCAGCCCCTCTATCCTGGGTTTAGGTTTTACACCCGTGGATCATCTGTAAAACTGTGTGATCTGGGGTGAGCAAGAGAAAAGATGTAATCAAAGTGCAGAGCATAACCATGCAGGAAGGGTCAGCAGGATTGGACAGGATTATGATCATGTCATGGTTATATCTTTGGATACTATGACAAGTCCTGGAGTTTGCGGTGCTCTCCTTTATAATATTACTTCTGTCACAATAAGAACAAATCAGGACTAACACACCTGCCCCTAAACCCAATAGCTGTTTGGAATCTGAAGTTTAACAATTCGATTTATCTGTTTGCCTATACTAAACAAGGCAAAAAGTCTCAAATATACACAGAAGTATAAGTACCATATGTGTGCCACCAATGATGGATAACCTATCAACAACTATTAATGTGCTACAGTATTGGCTCCAGTTAATGCATGTGGTCCCTGCTGTCTCCATATCCTGAAAAAATGATCCTGGAAACATTATTAATCAGACCACTGATCAGAATTACAATTGTGGCAGCACCAAAATTGTGTTCTAAAATTTTCATCAGACTGTCCTAAGCAACTGAATAACGATGACTGACATTGAAGTGTGTGAAGACTGATAATGTCCAAATATTAAAACCATTCACAATGAAAGAATATCATTCTGGTTTATCAATCCTTACACTGATGATATAGATACACCTACACTACCAAAGGCAAAGCAGTAACTGAACAAATCACAAAATGAGCCAAGTATTCTGACATTATCCTTTGTATCATGTCATTTACCTGTAATTAAACTAAAATTACCATAGTCTATATGACTTGCCCTTGAGAATATATTTTTTTCCAGTGTGTAAACCATTTCCAAGGAAAGTCCTAATTCCGATAACGAAGATGTCAACACATGGAAGGTTGTTCGACAGCATGGTAATTAATTGCAGTGATGTGAATCACTGGAAAAGTGACTTCACTGCTGGATCTTGCAGTGTTAATTATTTAAACAGTCCATCAGATGTAATGCACATGAATGTTGAAAGAAAACAGCTAACAAGAGTATTACATCTGATATGTTACTTGTGGGCTGTTACAGATGGAATGTATGTACTTTGATGCAGACGCCTAAGATATGAAGCAGCAAGCCTCTGCTCACAGCTGCTGTGTCCCAACAACACATTTCCTACCCTTTTATTCAAGCTCTGATGGCATGGCTATAAACAGCACCTGGATATAGACTCAAATACAGCAGCAGGATGCTGTGAGTCAGTGTTTCCCAACCCTATCCTGGAGTACCCCTTGTCCTGCATGTTTTAGATCTCTCCCTGCTCCAGCACAGCTGATTCAAATGATCAACTCGTTATGAACTCCTGAAGCTGCTTAATAACAAACTGATCATTTGAATCAGCTGTGTTGGAGCAGGGAGAGATCTAAAACATGCAGGACAAGGGGTACTCCAGGATAGGGTTGGGAAACACTGCTGTGAGTAACAGTGTGTGTTCTCTGCTGGGGAAATTCCACTGTACTCTCAGCCTGGAGAGAAAAGAACCTAAAGAACACACCTGTAATGCTAACACTACTACCACTAATACTCTAATACTACCACTTACAATAATAGAGTATCATACTTTTTCTCAAGACTTACACTCATGATATAGTTACACCTGCATTAACACAGAAAAAGTAACAACAGATCACTCAGTTAATTGAATGGATTATATTTAATATGCTATTTACCTGACACTAAACTAAAATGAAAGGTATGTGCATGACTTGCCCATAAGAATTAGAAGAATAGACTGTCATTTCAAAGAAACACCCTGCTTCCAGTAATGAATGTGCCAAAACATGGAATGTTGCTCTGCAGGATGATAGTCAATGATAACTATGATGATAAACATGGTCGATTCTCTGTATACGTAGCATGCCACTTTTGTATCCATGTGTAACTGCATTTTTGTCAGGTCCCCCTTGCAAAAGAGATTTCAATCTCAATGCTCCTAGTTACAAAATGATAAATGAATAAATAAATATAGTGACATGAAACACTGACAAAGTGATATTCAGAAACTTCATTTCTGGACCTGGAAGACTTAAATATATTAACAGTTGAATGTAATACCAAGAAATGCTGACGTAAAACAAATAGAACAGTTTAGTTTAGAGCTGAGACCCTACATGTAGCCTGTTCATACAGCTGGATTCCCCAGTACATTGATGCAGACACAATGGTGATGGGCATAACAGCAGAATGTGAGTGACTGTGTGTGTTCTCTGCTGCGGAAATTCCACTGCACTCTCAGATTGGCTTCAGTCTACCACCACACCTCCTGCAAATACAGGTAAAGCCAGGTCTGCCTACAAATAAAACTCACAGTTAAAGGGAAAGTAAAGATACACTATATGGCCAAAAGTATGTGGACACCTGACCATCACACCTATATGAGTTCATTGGACACCCCTTTCGA